TCCTGAGATTTGTTAAATTTCTGTTTTTCTTTTGTGTTGCACTCGAAAACATGTTCAAGGAATTCATGTTATATTTGAATATCCTTTCAAATAATAAGTTTTCCACATAATTATATTGCGTTGAAAAAAAAAGTAGGAGGCCATTTTTGCATGTTATTTGATATTCATTTAAGAAGCAGGCTGAAGATTCATATACAATCCTGTTAATATTCCCCTATCACTGTAAGATTGCAATTAAAAAAAATAAATAATTTTTTAAAATCAATATAAATTGTCAGGATGGCGGCTGAGGAAGCATATAGAAAATGGCAGCTTATATGCACATGTTTATGCATGTAATGAAAAAAAAATACATATTGACGGACATATATGTTCTTAAAAAAGTAGAGTGAACAGTTGAACCGTCTTTTATGTAATTAATCAATTATGTGTTTTAATTAACACTGTTTTACAATTCCAGATAAAGTTTTGGTAAATAAATTTGGTAAATACGTGACTATTCTTCATGTAAAATCATCATCTCCAGGCCATGAATGCCAAAATATATATTTACAAGGTACTATAAAAATCCACATAATTATATTGCGAATTGAAAAAAAAAAATCGTAGTTTCATTCTCTCAAAATGAGACAAAGAATAACAACAGAAATATAATATAGAAGGGATATTTTAACATATGAATTATGATCTATTATGAATTTTGAAATGTTTTTGGACTAATTATTGGGAAAGATTAATTAATAAAGGCCATCATATTTGATATTCATTTAAGAAGCAGGCTGAAGATGAGCTCATATACATGTAAATTTTGAATAATTTAATGTAATACGGAGAAATTATAAATAAAATAATTAAATAAATAGATTTTTTAAAGAAATAAAAAAAATTATTATTTGCCTTTATCCCCTATCAAAAAGATCTAATAAACAGTAAGATTTTTTTTTAGCAATTAAAAAAAAACTAATAAATTAATTTTTTAAAATCTTAATGTGTAACCTGTTAAGCAAACTTGAAACTACGGCAAAACTTAAGGAATGCCTATATAAATCAAAAAGAATTATTTCTTTCGAGAAAATAAATCAATAAAACTTCATTGTGGTAAACCCTTTTTATCTATAATGTACAGTTGTATATCATAATATCACTGTTTACATGTCACTATTGTAAAACATGATCGATCCACAATACCATTACTGTATAATATACATTGCAAGATATATGTACATGTATATATTAAGTATAAACATTGTCTAAAATTGTCAGTTTTATTATTAAAATTTTGATTAAATTGGTAAATTGATAAGAAGCTTAAATTTTTACTTGTTGAGATAAAAATGTTTTTATCTTTAGATTTTAGAAAATCACTCATCATTCGTTTATGTATATTTATAATAAATAAATCTTCGATCACATCCCTCAGATTGGAAATTTTCATACATTCAACAGTAATTCTGTGAATTTTGAATAAATCTCATTTACCAACTGATATGTTTGCTGCAGGCCTGCAGCAAGTCTACTGCAAGCTTGCAGCAAACAAAATTGTTCGTAGGAAGAAAATTTTCTTATTCGCAGATGATTCCCAGTAGCTTCGATCTTGCGGCAAACATTGCAGCCCAACATGTTTGCAGGAACATAGTAAGAAACTTTCATGCCAATTTAATGTTCGCAGCAAGTTCACAGGACACATTTCATTATTCGAATGTTTACAGGAAGTTCGTAAGAATAGTAAACAAGTCAAATCAGCCAATGAAATGCAGATTGTACTGAGGTAAACACAGAACTTGCCAGCCCATTTTGAAATGTTTGAATTGAAGTTGTACACGTTTCAGTATTTTGTTAGGAATACACACCATTCTGAATGATTAAAAGTGCCAAACTTCGGATGTAGGTGTTCATTGGCATCCATGATATCTAACTGGTAAGAAATGGTTTTGTTTTATTTTGATATTTAAAAGAATATTACTTAAAAGCACGTTTGAGTTACTGGTGTAAATGCTAGGTCAAATCTAAATCTTAAATATTTATTATGAATTTCAGTCCTCTTTTTAATATCACATATGTATACTTCTTAAATGTATCAATGGACCTAAATCAGTTAAATGTTTTCAAATTAATTAGTAGCTGTGTAATTACGGTAATATTCAATTTAAAATTGTATGTAAAATTTTAAAAGTTCTGTTCATATACAATGCTATAATGCACTTTAATTTTCAAAAAGTATGAAAACTATGTCTAGGAACATAAAGAAGCCTATAAAAACTTCATACAATTGCATAATTTCAGAAATATGTGGTGGATTTTCTCTACACTTAACAGATTTAGGTTAGATCAAAATAAAGCTTTCCGCGAACTTGCTGCTTGTACACAAGAATGTGCCAAAATCATAAGGAAATTGTTTGCTGCAAGTTAGCAGCAATGTTTGCGGCAAGCTTGCAGCAATGTTTGCGGCAGGCTTGCAGCAATGTTTGCCGCAAGCTTGCAGCAAGGTTTCCATATTTGGAAAATTCAATGTTTGATGCAGACTTGCAGCAAACCTCATTTGCATGGTAAAATGTTTGCAGCAAGCTTGCTGCAGACTTGCCGCTAACTTGCTGCAAACACCAAAGTTTTGTATAGACTGTCATGCTCTCTTTCGCTACATTGCTGCAAGCTTGCAGCAAAGTTTGCTGCAGACTTGCAGCAAGTATTTGCAGGAAGACAATATTGTCGGTAAGGGCTTCCCAAAAAATTTTGCATCGGATTACATGTACTTTTCTTCAAGAAATGCTTTCTTTTTTTCAATACGAAAAGGTGTGAAATTAACATTTTAAAACTTTATTATATTTCCATGAAATTGTATTCTAGACAGAAACATAATTCCAATTGAAACATCTCGCAGATAAAGGGAAACAAAGCAAGGATATAGGATTATTTGCTAATTACATGTATAATTTGCTTTACTTGTTCGTACAGCAATAAATAATTGCAGAGCGAAAATTTACAATGGTTGCATTTATTAAACATATTCAGAAAACATATTAGAACAATATTTGGCTTATATCTACAATGCTTGAATAATTGAATGATGTAAGTTTAAAGAGAGTAAAATATAGCAATGATCTGAAGTAATACATGCATACCTCCATTGATTGGTGAAGGAGTGTGTGCTGTTTAAGAAAACCTTCCAACATACAGACTTTAAAACGCAGGTTTTTACTAGTTACGATGAAGGGAAGTGGCAATCTATAATAATATATTCCATGGCCGATATGTTTAAGAGAGAAATTGAGGGCATAATTTGTGATTACATAACTAAGTCCCTACATAATATATTTTGACATCGCTTAGGTTCTGCATTATATTACAGTTGTTATGTTGTGTTACAACAACAAGATATCTGGACGTCACGTCGTCATAGATGGAACCAGAGCTAAAGAATCTAGAAACACAAATTGTGGGTGTACAGTGTCCAGTGATAAACCTAGTACACTGAATTTCACAAACTACAACGGCGTCAATCCTGGGCCAGGATGTGGGAGTGTTGTAATGATTCAAGCTGATGGCACTAGTATGGCAATGAACTGCTTTGTGACTGGCAGACAGCTTCCAATTAATGGATCAGATGTTCATATTAATATAGAACATCCACAGCTAGCCTACGACACAAGTTACTGTATATCTATGGAGTCAGGTACAAAATTCAATTGCAGTTTAAGATAACATTTTTATTTTGTAACCAATAAAAATATTAGAATTTCTTTCATTTTTTTGTCCTGAAATCCTGTGTATATATTTTTTTGAAAACAAGATAATTTAATTATATTTTCAAATATAACTGAATAGTCCTTGGTACATTTGCTTTCATGGAGCTTTATTTAAGTGCAGAATTTAAGATAAAGATTCGCTGCTTACATTACGTTTTCCTCTTTAGTTGATTCTTCTGCGGTTCTTAATGTGTCCTGCGAGGGAGAAGATATATCATATACAACAATGACAACTCCGTTAACTTCAAAAGCAACCCATAATGCTGAAATTACATTCAATTCAATATCGGTCAGTGACAAGGAAAAAGAAATATTAACTACTGAGCCTTTACCGCCAATAGACGAAGTATGTTCTTTACTCAATCTTTAAGCATGATTTTTTCTGATCACATTTTCTCTCGAGTCCGTCTATTTGTATTCCAGTTGTTGTTTTTTGTGTTTGAGTTCCAATCAAACTTGCTGTGGTTAAAGGAATTAATTTTTATCCAAATAATGTGCCAAGCCATCTTTCAAAGAAAGATGACCAAGTTAAATTTAGATTAAATTTATTTGAGTCATTTCAAACTATTTTTATCTCTTAGTCACCGGGACAATAAAGAAATATCATCATAGGTACGGCTGAGTGACAAGGAGATCAGAGTTTGCATGGTCATTATCAAAAATCTTCCTGTTAAGGAGGACAAGGGTAAAATTATTATAGCGTTGTGAAAACACGCATATTAGAAGTTAGTTTGAATTTACAATATAAGCTTAAAGTTTATCTATTCTTCAAATGAAGATCTTCATTCGTGGTATTATAGGACCACACTATAATATCAAATTTTTAACATAGGAATATATACGGCAATTCATATGTTAAAGTCAATTAATTTGCAAGCATACTCAGAAAGTGAAAGGACCCTCTATAAGAATTCATGATAATTATACAGCAGGATGTCTTGTACTAAAATCTGACATATATCGATAAAAAAAGATCAGGTACAATGTAGCAACTGTTCCTTCATCAAGCTCATAGAATTTGAAGCAAAAGTTGCAGGGGTTTTGGGTGAGATCTTAAAATCCGAGGCCCCATGTCAAGGTAAATGTTGGTACGATATAGAATCATCACTACTCAATGGTTGAAGGTGCCGAGTAAAGGTCTTAATTAGACTGTATCACTGTATCTGTTGATATCTCGATATGAGTAAAAATTCTAAAAGGCGATAGAAAACAACATACAATCAATCAATCAGCTGATGTTCAATTTAACAGTCTGTGTTGACGACAGAGAATCAACCTATTTCTACTAAATCAAAGACAATGACAACTGATGCTGTTGTAAACATAACTGAAAAAAGAACAGCGAGCATTACAATGATTAACACTGTACCGTCCAAAACAACAAATAAAATTGCTACAGGTAACTTGTCAGATTCAGGTGAGATATTATGTACAGTTCTTGCATAAATATTCCAAATTGCTTTCTTCATAACATGCAGCTGCTTTAACCTATTTTTGAACTAGTATAAAAGTACCTTTAATTGTTATTTCAAGATTTTTATGCAAATGTGTATTTTTTTCTCCAAAGAATTAAATTTACATGTACATTTATAATTTAAAATTTTCAAATTCAGATGCTTACTTCTACATCATAACTCCATTGGCAGTCATCTTCGCCTTCTTAGCTTTGATATTTTTTATAATCGCATGTAAAAATAAAAGGTAAGAAGCGTACGTTACAAACAGATATTTTTCAGTATATTGATTGACCCTTGGACAAAATTGATTGTTTTTATTTCCCCATTTAAATTTACAGAAGACGATTTGAAAATTACTTTGATGTTAGAGGAAGGACAGCTCAAAGTGAATATGAAACTGTATCTGATTCGTCTACCAATACGTCTAACAGTCCTGAAGATGGATATGATTACATACTCGATGTTATTCGAAATCCAGGATAAATCATATACATGTATTCATTTTTTATCCTCAAAATAAAATCAGGACAGGCAGTTTATAGTGCATAGACAGTTATAAAAAGATATAAATATAGGCAAAGTTTTCAGTGGCTAAATATGTATTGCGAAGTAGCTTTTTACTGCATGCAGAATGTTACAAAATGTTTTCGGGAATGTTTAATGAATTATTGTGGTACAAGAAGACCAAGTCGACACAATAATGCAGTAAAATAAATCTAGTTTCAATTTAAGAAGACCAGGGTTTCTATATATTATCCCTTATTTTACAACAAGGAACAGAAAATGTATAGGTACATGTATTTGAATTTTTTGCTTTACAACTGAAAATGAATGCACTTTTTATGTATGTCATATATTCTGTTGTCTTGAAATAATTTAAAAATTGTATTATTTTATGCGAAATGTGGACAAAATTTTCAGCTTTGCACTGTTAAGAAATTATGATTTTTATTTAAGAACTTTTAAGCTTTTACAAAGCCTGATATAGCTAAAAAGGTACGGTAAATGGCACCATCTAATAACGCCATACGAATTTTGGAACAAGAAGTTACTAATTGTAAAAAGCCTGATTCAGGACAAGATGTCCAGTTAAGGCAGTAGTTATGAGAGGACTTCCTTTGTTTTTGTAACTTATGTCTAATCCCTTTAATACATTGTCAATTAAATGTGTTCAAAACAACAGCATTATGAAGAAAGACAAAGACTCCAACTGACATATAAATGAGTAGGGAATATGTACATGACTACAACAATAATTATTGATAAGAGTATTCAATTTGAATATAATAGGTATTAAACACTGAAATATGATTTCGAAGAATCCAAGTCTCTTTCTTGAACTGTGAGTATAAATAGAATTTACAGCTAACTTGATGGTGTCATTGGTCGTCATCACTTCGTATTTTTAGTATTCGTCTTTCTACTGAATATCTGAATAATGTACAACGATCTAATAGATTACTATATTCCAAAGTTTACTCTTAGGTCACCCTTGATGGAAAAACAGGTCTTTGTTGAGCAATTTTTTAGAGTTTTGGAGAGTAACAATGAACTGATTTTAATCATACCAAACAATCGTTTTAATATGATGTCAAACCTGATGTTTAACACCCGGTTTAACATCCTATTAAAATATACGTTAAGAATAGTTCACAAAAAAGCCCAAGATAGTAAACACAAATTCCATAAATTTTAAAAATTCTATAGATTGATAATTTGCTCGAGTTATGTAAAAATGTACATGTAGTACTTAATATTCTTATATTACATTTAGGAAATAGTCGATACTGCTTAACGTAAAGGTATTTGTGTAACAATGTTGAGGCGAGTAAAGAATTTGCATTTGATCGTGTATTTCACTTAAATAATACTATCTTTGCCATTGTACACATTATCAATATATATCTTTAAGGTTAGGAAATCTAGTTTCTTTAGTCCTCCGCAAGATCGAATTCTATAGAAAAGAGATCTATTGGGGGGTGGGGGGAGGGGGTTAAGTTAAATTTTTTGTTATATGCATGGTTAACTTTGCTCTTATATTTTTAATGTAATTTGCAATGTTAAAGTATACTACATGCAATGAATAATATTTTTTATTGCGTATTATTTATACAGGGAAATGACAACAAAATGTTTGTTTTAACCTTTATTTTGGCGAACATTGGCCGTGGCATAGTAATTTGTGGGATGCCAATTAATACACACAACTTTTGGGCAAACCCACACAAATTCAACAAAATTCATCAACACAAAAAAGTCATATGTTCAAAAACGACCACCCCGGGTAAACCGCGGGTGGTTACTTATTTAAGTGTAAGTGTAATTAGTTATATGCACAATTCAAGCACAAAACAAATTATATCAACATATCAGCAAATATTTTACATATAAAATGGTTCAACATTTCAACCCCCTTCACAGTTCAATGGTGAAAACTTCACAACAATACAAAGTTTCTGTAGGCCTCAGTTGCTTTGGTGTGCGCAAACGCCATTCCTGTACAGGTTATGCCACGACATATTTCACGAAGACGACATCCAATGCAACAGATTCTGTAAAATACAAAGAAAAAGCCAGCACCAAGAACCAAATATGCAATCATTTAAACTCCAAATTATGGGAATGGGTGGGTGGGATATTTAAGGCAGATGCAAAATTTTTCTTACAAATATTATGAAAAAACTTGACAAAGAAATATTCAACCTACTCTGTATCCAGCAAGTTGATGAAAAGAATGTTGATCCCGAGCTTTCCGACTTATATATACCCAAGGCCGCAGGCCGATCCCGACCAAAAAATTAATACCTTTTCCCGTAAAATAAAGTCATCTGATTTTATATGCATAAAATAGATGATATTATTTATACAGGGAAATGACAACAAAATGTTTGTTTTAACCTTTATTTTGGCGAACATTGGCCGTGGCATAGTAATTTGTGGGATGCCAATTAATACACACAACTTTTGGGCAAACCCACACAAATTCAACAAAATTCATCAACACAAACAAGTCATATGTGCAAAAAATGACCACCCCGGGTAAACCGCGGGTGGTTACTTATTTAAGGTTACTTATTTAAGTGTAATTAGTTATATGCACAATTCAAGCACAAAACAAATTATATCAACATATCAGCAAATATTTTACATATAAAATGGTTCAACATTTCAACCCCCTTCACAGTTCAATGGTGAAAACTTCACAACAATACAAAGTTTCTGTAGGCCTCAGTTGCTTTGGTGTGCGCAAACGCCACATGACAGCGAACAACCGAAGGAGAGTTCGCAGTCATCCCACACATGGGGGAGCACCCAAGCAACTGACAAAAAGCCCCCACGGACCAATGTTCTTGATGTTTTGTTTAAGGATACACATTTCCTTGCTTTGACAGGAAAAATTCTAACCCCCTTTGGATATTATTTAGAAAAAGTTTATTTCCTAGGTCATTGAGGTGTACTCCATCTGGCAACAGAAATTGCGATATGTTTTTCAATAAATCAGGGTACTTTATGTAACAACCCCCCAACTCTAACACTAATGAAGCAGCTACCCTATTGGCCTTAAGACGGGAACGCTCCATTGCTTTATTGTCCCCCGAATACCTCCATTTATTTCGTGGCAGCATCTGTGACCAAACAAGTGTAGAATGTGGAAAGCGAGTCTTGATAATCTTTAGATGGGATTTAATTTTCTCAATGAGAGTATACAGATCAATTGATCCTAAATCGTTTGCCCCACAGTGAATAACCAAAAAGTCTGGGGATTCCTCATATTCTGTCAGAAAAAAGAGCTTTCTTTTAAGTCCCAAAAAATTCAAACCTGAATATCCCTGCCACCAGATATTTATTTTCAATCTATCCAATCCAAGATTTGTTCCCCCCGGTCTGCATACTGATGCCATCATTGCATTCTTAATAATAGAGGAGCCCACACACCAGACTTTAACTTCAGAGACCTCTACAAATGTATGCAATAATTTGAATAATTCTTGTTATATTTACAAAATTACAACTTATTTGCCCCCAACATCTGCCCAACAGGACATCTTATGTACGATTTGTATGCCCTAGACTTCCAACGCCCTGCTTCCATTATGACATCTTGTGAACACCCCGCTTCAAATGCTGCAGTGGCTGCCCCGATACGAAATGAATGGGCCCTATAATGCCCCTGAACCCCCAAAACCTGAAGTGATTTTTTCAAAACCGAAGAGAACTGATATCTGGTAAGGGGATTTTTTCCACAGTGGATAAATAAAGGCCCTTTAATTTTTGGTCTTACTGCAAGATAATCTATCAAACTTGCTACTGGACACAGGATTCCCCCACTTTTATCAATGGCTAAAGAAACCCCCTTTCTATCCTGATCACATTTTGACATTCTTATGTGTACAAAAACCTTGGAGTAATTAGCTTCAAATTGAACATCAGTCACTTGTAAAATTGTATGAACACTATTACCAGCAGACAATGTGAATTCCCCTATTCTGAGAAAACCAAAGAAGGCTAATATATAAGCAGCTCTGAACAATTTTGTTTCATAACTATTGCTACAAATGCTCGATAAAACCCTAACAACTTCAGTAAGCAACTGCAAGGTTATAGGTAGCCTTGCATCTGCAGACCTACCAGTTCTTCTCATACCCTCAAGAACCTTTACAACCAGAAAGTTCTTTGTTTCATCAACCCAATTGTGAATTTTGCATTGAAAACTAATAGAAGATAGATAAGATTTTGCCGTAGCATAGGAACACTTCTTAAGTGACAGATAAGCAACAAAGTGAACAACATCTCTAAGAGGTGGGGGCCATGAAATTTCGTACCCAAATTCTTTCCGGAAATTATAAAATGAATTTTGTCCTGTTTCGTATGCTGTCTTAGTGTTTTCAGAGATTGAAGCATCTAGCAATTTATTCATTTGAATCTGTAAATCATGTTGACTAATTCTACTGGAAGAGGGTCTGGTCTGGTGCTTGCCTCTGGTGCTAACGTCTTGAAGCGGAACCACTGTTTGCGAGAAATAGAATCTGCAATTTTGTTATCCAAGCTACTAATGTGATTTGCCCTAAATATAACATTATTGATCATCAGTCTAAGAACCAAATGTCTTACCAATTCCATCACTCTTTTGGACTTGGAAGATTGGGTATTGATGACACTAACTAATGAAAGGTTATCAACATGAAACTGAACTTTTTTATGTAACAACCTAGGTCCCCATATCTCTATTGCTAAAACTACTGGTATGAGCTCAAGAAAAGTCATGTCTCTCAAAATTTCTTGGTTGTTCCAATGTTTTGGCCATTGGAGAAAAAACCAACTTCCACTAAAGTAACCACCACAACCTAAATGACCTGAACCTGCACTATCTGTAAATAACTGTAAAATGCTAGAATCTTCCCATACAGTATTAGGAAAATAAGCAACCCCATTGAAATGGTTCAAGAACACCAGCCACATTCTAAGGTCACTTTTAATTCCTACTGATAATCTTATATGATGATGTGGCTTGAAAACTCCACTAAATGCATCATACATTCTTCGAATAAAAGCTCTACTAGATCTGATTGCCTTTGAGAAAAAAATTGAGCATTCCAACTAAAGACTGCATTTCTTGCAGTGTAACTTTTTCCCTATCTAAAAAATTTTCAATCAGACTCTTCAGGATTTCTAACTTAGCTTCTGGGATCTTAATTGTCATCTCTAGTGTATCAATTTCAAAACCTAGAAATATTAATTTTGTTGTTGGACCAGAAGTTTTCTCATGGGCTAGAGGTACCCCTAAATCCCCAGCTAAGTTACTAAAAGTAGACATTAGAATTTCACATTCATCACTACCAGACCTACCTGCAAAAAGGAAATCGTCTAAATAATGATCTAATGTATTCAATCCAGACTTGAACTGAGCAAGCCAGTGTAGAAAAGTTGCAAATGTTTCCCAAATTCTGCAACTAATGGAACAACCCATGGGAAGGCATTTATCTATGTAATATAATCCATCTACAGAGAAACCTAACAAGTCAAAATCCCCTGGATTTATCGGAACTAAACGAAAAGCACTTTTAATATCCATCTTACCTATCAATGCGCCCCTTCCCAAATTTGCAATCATATTGACTACACCATCAAATGATGCATACTGCACTGTACATAAATCTGGGTCTATAAAGTCGTTGATCCCCTGGGAACTAGGATAGGATAAATGGGTAATCATTCGCCACCCTCCATCAGATTTAGGGACAATACCAACTGGTGAAATATGGAGGTTAGAAATTGGAAGTTGATCAAAAGGACCCATGATTCGGCCAAGCTTTATTTCCTTACTTATCTTTTCCATCAACTCATCATGGTGTTCACTTGCAGACTTAAGATTTTTTGAAAACACATGACACCTTGGGCCTGTATAATTTATTTCAAAACCCTTTGAAAACCCATTTTTTATATAATTAGCAGCATATTTGTCTGGATATGGCTGCAAATATTCATTTAACTTTTCCACATTAATAGGGGAATTTCCTAGGGCCCATATACCTTTGTGGTCTTGGGGTTTGGGTTGGGTGTGACAAAAGGGGTCTAACTTGAGGCTGTCCCTGCAGTGGTCCCCTTGGGTAACTTGTGGACTTCCCAACATAATTAGATTGAGGGCACAAATATTGTGGATGACTCCCAGAACATTTAATGCACTTGTGCATGTACTGGCAAGAATTTCTGTCACAATGACCCTTGAAGTTGAAATTATAGCACTTGTTGTAAGCTGGGCTGATCGGTTTAATTGTTAGTTTAGATTGTGGGGATGATGACATAAACATCAACCATAACTCATAGTCTACTTTAGACCAATCTATGGTGGGATCGATACTGCGGCGAAGTCGAAACTGCTCGTCATATTTCTTCCATCCCAAATCCCCCTCCCCACATCTTGATGCCCCGAGTCTTATGTCATATAAATATTTCAGCAAACCCTGGTAAGATTCTGGGTGGGCTGAAGCATAAATGCTAGAGTAAACTAAGAATGCATCTGTCCATTTACTGATATTTTGAATCTTATTGCTAGGTTTAACAACCTCTCTTGTGACCAACTCCCCTTTTTCATTAAAAAATATTTTTTTCTCTGAAGATTCTGTCAGGGAAGTGTTATCAAGCAACAAACTAATCTCTATGTATGCTGAACTAATGATTTTAGACTTCAATGAGTTAGAGACATTGCTAGCCAATAGTGAATGAATGCTATCTACATATTGATTCTCATAACCAATGCTTGTACCTGATTGAGATTCAATGGCCAAAGCAGGCACAGGTGCTGGGGCCAGTGGGGTAGAGTTTGACTTTCTGGCACCAACTACATTCTCTTGGGCGGCGATGCTTCCTGAAGGACCTGGTTCCTGAACTGTATGATTATCGTCAACCTCTATCGCTACCGCTGGTCGCTCTTGTCTTGACCTCTTTGACCTTGATGCTTTGCCCTCGTTGTCTCTCAGTCTGCAATTCCGCTTAGTCTTATTTTTGGGAGGCATTTCCGCTCGTTATAGTAAATAACAAACAAAAAATTACTAATTGTAATTCACCAGATACAAATTTTTTGATAAATTTGCTACGGGCAAAAATTTGCAACAATATATTCAAAATGGCTGTCGTGTCACATTTAATCGGGCTGTAAATCCAGCACAATCCAGAGAAAATATATACGTTGGATTAAAAAAGTATTAAGAACATTTATTATCCATTAACCAAAATTTAAATATATTTAAGGCAGATGCAAAATTTTTCTTACAAATATTATGAAAAAACTTGACAAAGAAATATTCAACCTACTCTGTATCCAGCAAGTTGATGAAAAGAATGTTGATCCCGAGCTTTCCGACTTATATATACCCAAGGCCGCAGGCCGATCCCGACCAAAAAATTAATACCTTTTCCCGTAAAATAAAGTCATCTGATTTTATATGCATAAAATAGATGATATTAATCATAAAAATGCTAAAATGATGTCGTAAAACGTGCTGAAAAAGCCTAAGAAAAAGGAGCAGAAAACTAAGTGGGAATGACTGAAATGCTAGACGAACAGAGAGGTAATGCAGAAAATATTGTTTAGATTCCTTATCATAATGGACAGGAAAGTATATAAAATCACGCATACAGAAGTCTTTATTTATGTAACCAATGTATTTATTTTTTTATGTTCGCGATGTCGCAGATCGTGCTCTTACTTCCTGGTTAAAATGAAAACCTTCATGGAGTTCTCATTATTTTCGTTCCTACTGTTAGGTGAGCTTTGCATTTAGTCAACACATCTTTGTTCAGATTGAGATTTTATGCATGTGCAACATAACGTAAACATAGTATTTCTTTAAGGTCTTACCATGAGCTGTTCAGTGAATGATATCAAACAGGAGATATATAATGCCCTTGTTTCCTGCCAAACAAAGTCCTGTACAACTTAGAAGTTTTGTTGAATGTGGAATGTTCTCAAACATGCACGATAAAAGTATCTAACAAGTTGCTGTCCTTTAAAAAAAAAGGACTACAATACGTGGACCATATGCATGTTTTTCTAACCAAATTCAATTAAGAAAATGTCTAGGTGTGGTGATTATACATGTAGGTTTGTTTACATTTTCTACAATGATCTGCCTACTTAAATGACTGATTGTAGTTTCAAAGCAAAATTGTTAAACTTTTTCTACGATAAGTTTTGTCAGTTTAAAAATCGGGCTATTTTGATACATGTAACCCATAATGGTTGGAACTTGACACCTGATTTGAATTTTACGGAAGAAATCTATCATGGGAAAAATAGAGATCTGATGGTTCACGTGTAGCACAGCTCTGTAATACGCAGATTTTTTTGTCGGAGCACCCCCCTCCCCTTCCACACACACACACACACACCCTCTCTCACACACACACTCACACTCACACCCACCCACACACACACACATTAAAAGCCGTTGCTGAAGACCACTATCAAACGGTATTTGGATTGCCGAAATATTAAATAATTTGGCAAGGCTTAATGCACAAAAGTAATGTCGGCGAAAACTTGTTTTATCTTTTAAAAGCTAGAACTAGTCGTTGAATGTTGCTTTTCATTCAAGTTGTTCATTTACGTGTTTCTATTCTTCCTACTTTTTAGAAATGCTTGTACCATAGAATCAATGTTTAGTTTGTATATAAAAGTATATGTATTAGAGAGAAATTCGGATCTGCCAATGAATTATGTAAATGCGATGTGCGGATTTAAAAGCGCGATTTGCCAATGAATGGCATATTCTAATGCAAATAGGGCGAATTATTCTAGGGGCAAGTTACCGAAGGTGCGAACTCTCTAGCATTTTCGCGCATGCGTAGCCTGTCGTTTGTCATCTGGTTTAACCTCGCTTACTGATAAGCTTTCTTGTTTTCGGATAAAAAGGTTCAAATCGATGAAAAATTAATGATATAGAAATAACCTCATTGACAATACAGGCAAGCATATACATACACATTTTCTTAATAAGAATGTTTTCGTATCACTAACATTTTAATAATATTCATTTTATTTATATAAGTAAAATGGAGTTACCTATGTTATGACCTATTCCAGGTATACCCGTCGTTGTCGTTCAATATTATACAGAATATAAATTAACGAACAGTCCAGTTTCCAGTTGTAAAAATATCCCACTGCATCTCAACAAATCGAGAGAAGACGTAGAAAACCAGTTCAACAGTATATGCAGTGCATTTGATCTTTTAATGACAACCAATTTTTCATTTACTTCATTTGTCTTTTCGGTAAGAAATAAATAAAACAAGCAAATAAAAAGAAATTTTGTCCCCCGCTTTTGGGGTGTATTTGTGGGTAAAATGTTATTTTTATGGCATATTGTGTCAAATATGAACGCCCTTTCATGTGTCATTAAGAAGTTATCACCGAAATTGAATTTGAGAAAAATGAATTTGAAAAAAACTAAGTCAATCGTGAAAGTCAAGGTCAAGCGATTAGAAATCGTAGCATGCTATGAAATATCTTGTCACAGGAAATGCTTACGTTGAATATGAAAGCCCTATCTCTATTCAATCAAAAGTTGTAAGGAAATTTTTTTTGAAAATTATATCAAACTTCAAAGACAAGGTCACAAGAATCATAGTGTATTTAGAAAGGATATGGCACAGGTACATGTAATATACAGGTTTAATATGAAAGCCCTATCTTTTCTCATTCAAAGGTTATAGCCAATTTGAAGTCTATTTTTTTTAAATTAGGTAAAAATACACGGTCACAGGATTAAAAATAAAAGTGTATATGGAAAGGCAATACACAGGTCCAATATGAAGGCCCAATCTCTTCTCATTAAAAAGTCATGAGAAAGGCTTAAGTTTTTGAAAGATGGTCAAACTTTAAGGTCAGGGTCACAAGGTCAAAAATTTATTTAGAAAGGACTTGTCAGAGGCAATACAGACGTTTAATATGAAAGCCCTACTAGAGGCTGTCTCTTCTCATTCAAAAGTTAAGGCCATTTCAAAGTAATGTTAATTTTGTTTTAAAGTTGGTCAAACTTCAAGGTCACGGGGTCAAAAATCATATTATATTTAGAAAGGTCTTGTCACGAGCAATATACATGTGTAATATGAAATCCCTATCTCTTCTCATTCAAAAGATATTACCAAGGTTAAAGTATTTGTGACGGACGGACGGACAGACGAATGAGATTTAATGTCCCCTCGCTTTAGCGAAAGCGGGGCACAACTAAAGAACTAATTTCGACAGGTGTCATGTCCAAATTTTTAGAGGATAAATAAAAATGATGCTTCGTTAATCCTTACAAAACGACTGAAAAGATGATACATGTTAAATTTTCTGTGTCTCTTGTCTCTTGCAATTACATGTAGGTACATTTATAAGCCTTATAGGATAATGTCCATATACTCTTTCTAAACAACGTTTGTCGGTTTTATAAACTACCTTGATCCCCACTATTGCATTAATTTATGTTGATTTTACCAAATTGGCTCATTAATTATGATGCAAAAGCCGACGAGAGCCATACACTTAATCGTGTGATTGCAACAGTTAACGTTTAAGGTAATTAAGGTAGCTAGGTCCATACCTTCAAAAGTTTCTGTCAAACTGATTTTTGTTTAATTTGAATACCTTGATTGTGTCATAAACTAGTCTAACTAAAACGCCCGTAAAAGACATATCTTTGCAGGTTAATTTTCATACATTCCTCTAAAAATTCAACAGCCAAAATCGAACATAAAGAAGCGTGATATCATATTTTATTTGGGTATATGTATGCTCCAAATCACAATAATTTTACGTTAAAACTTATAAAATTAAAAAGTATTCATTTGCAAAGAGAATATTTGATATCTTTAGTGGAAAACATTAACAAAGTGATGTTGAATCTGTCTACATCTTTCAGAAAAAAATCTCAAAATATATTTATTTTTAATAAATCTATCTGTTAATATGCCATATTTTTAAATTAAAATTATTTAGAGATATATCTAAGGTTAATAAAAACAAATACTTTATTATAGTTGAACAGATAAATTTAACAAACAGACTTTTTAAACACATATACCCCCATTCTTTGAATATCAATTTTTTTCAATCATTCTTTGCAAAATTTAAAAAAAGTAAAATTTAATGTGTACACTGTACTAAATGACAGAGGGCAAAATGTTAATTTCCATGAATAATATACATGTATATTAAATGCTTTGTATGCACAATGATACAATAATAATATGATAAAATACGAATATATGTTGAATTAGGTCATCCCAAGTTTTTTCTATGTTTAGCGTCCGCGTGCGCCTTAGTTATTGACAATCCCATATGAGAAAAAAACACACAACATCAGGAGTCCTGAAATTTTTGAATTATGTAAATTTCTCCAAATAATTCTGTACAGTAAGTTATCTTGGGTGTATTTTAAGCATTTAATCCCTTATTTTTGCTTAAGAATAGATATTTCTTCTATGAAAGCACTTTTGTTAGATCAAATCATTTGAAAGGCTTCATTTTTATGACTTTTAAGTCTGTGTTTTATGTTTTGGCTTGTGTGTTTTTTGCGAATAGGTAGGTAGGTTTTTGAAAGATGGGTGGACGCTAAACAGAGAAAAAGCTTGGAATGGCCTTATTAAAATTTAAACAATCTGAGGGTAATAATTATTTTCACTATTTTCAGTTGAATATTTCTTTTTCCACCACGTTCACCAATACCACAAGTATAGAAAATATAAATGTTTGCATAAAGTCAACACAAATAATTTTTTGGACCAAGCATATTTTTGCGAGCATTCTTGACAATATTACATGTGAAAACGTGAAATTGAATTATACATCTGATCCAATATTGCACACAAGAAGACATGAAAAATGTCATAATGAGTCAGTTATCATCCGTAATGCGACAGTTAGTAGTGGGGACAACAGGATAACAGGACTCTGCTGTGGTGAGTTGTTTATTTTCTGTCTTGGTCTTTGATCATACTACCATAGTAAAGAAAGACACTAGTATGTATTAGTAGTTAAAATGGCATAAAACTCAATATAACAAGAGCATATAAGGACAATAGATTTAAACTTTATATTTACATGTTAATTTGCTTAAATATTAAAGCGGGTGTACGAATATTTTTGAATACATTGAACTTATTTCATAAGACCCTCAGTCTTCTTTTACAAAATGTTGACATTGTTTATGCCAAACTCGTTAAATCAAATGATTATTTTATAATAGTATACTTTCATGCAAATACGTTTATTCTGATTGGTCGAGAAACATTTTTAAACAAAAACACTATTACCCGCTGAATAATGAAGCCACGCCTCCAGCGTAGCAACAGTCAACATTGCTTGACGACGGGTGATATTCCAAAAAATAGCGACTGCGCAGAATTTATGCGCGCTCGGTTCACTGTTATGTGCATTTGTATAAACATTCAGTATAATATAATAAATTTTTGCATGTAGTTGAGTGTAACGTTAAAAATTTCCGACCCTCGAAAACCATTATCAACCACGGCTGCGCCTCGGTTGACAATGGTTTTCTTGGGGTGATAATTTTCAATGTTACACTCGAATACATGCAATATTTATATAATAAATATTTCCTGGGCCTTCTTTAAAAAACAAAATATCGAAGAATTATTTTTTTCCAAACAATCTATGTGGAATTCCCATGGGACAATTGAGCCCCGTTATTAGCCGATCTGATTTTATATTCATATGAAGCAGAATTTGTGCAAAATCTAATGCATGAAAAAAAAGAAAACACTTGCAAAATAAGAAATGCATGATTTCTTCATAATAAGAAATGCATGATTTCTTCATAAGAATCGCCCCGTGGGGATCCGGGTTAGAATAGGTCCTCAGTACCCCCTTGCTTGTCGTATAAGGCGACTAAATGGGGCGGTCCTTCGGATGAGACCGTATAAACCGAGGCCCCGTGTCACAGCAGGTGTGCCACGATAAAGATCCATCCCTGCTCAAAGGCCGTAAGTGCCGAGCATAGGCTTAAATTTGCAGCCCTTCACCGGCAATGGTGACGTCTCCATATCAGTGAAATATTCTGGAGAGGGACGTTAAACAGTATACAATCAATCAATCAATCATAAGAATCGAACGGAAGAAAACTCTTTGAATATCATGAAGGTGATATATATATATCGTCATAATAGCATTAAAATAAATGTAAGATGTACACTGACAGGAAATATGTTTATTCAAAACCCATACATATATTCACTGAATTTGAATTTCAATAGATAACAAAAGCAATAAACAAATATCTTGAACTAAATATGACTTATATGGTTATATGTTGTGTCATAAAATTATATATGACAGAAAATCAATTAACTTTGACTTTTGCGTGCTCGACATGTACTAAGTAAATTACCCTTAGTTTTGAACTGAAAGTCATATGTATTACCTGTATCTGGTATTTTGGATAAGTTAAAGAATTTTTGCAAAGACACCATCAGATTGAATCCTTTTTCAATCCAGTGTATCGAGACTGGGACGAAAACCCATGTCAACAGGAAGGCTAAAGGTTGCCTAGACAATAATATTTATGAATTGAGAAAATTTGACTTCTTTATCCAATTACCGTTCACGGTAGCCTAATGGTAGAGCGTTCGCTTCGTGATCGGGAGGCCCGGGTTCGATTCTCGTTCTCGGCGCCGTGTCAAACCTAAGACGTAAAAATAGGTAGCGACTGTTCCTTCGCCAAGTGCTCGACATCAGAAGTGAAAGTCACGGGTCTTTCGGATATGACCTTAAAAACGTAGGTCCCGTGTCACGGTAGGCGCTGGCACGATAAAGAACCCTCATTGCTCAATGGCCCTGAGTGCCGAGTATAGGTCTAAATTTGAAGCCCTTCACCGGCATACGGTGACATCTCCATATGAGTGAAAAATTTTCAAGAGGGACGTTAAACAATATACAATCAATCAATCAATCTTTATCCAATTTAATCAATTAATATGAGTTACGGATTGAGAAGTGAAACTTCATTCCCATTTGAAGATTCATCCATCTGATCCATTACATGTTCAAAATGATACAATTATCAGCTGCTGTAAATACGGGGTTAGAATAAATACTATTTTGACTTTTGCAGTTTTGAATTTTTATATCTTTACTCCTTATAAATAATAACGGTAATGCCTAAATGTCGTTTGAGTCTATATATAATGCCTTAATTGATACATGTAGTTGAAACATTTGAAAATAAAATTCTTAATAAAATTCTTGTTTGTCATTCATATCAGCAGGATTTAAAAAGAATAAACTATTAGATATTGACATACAAGGTGAAAAACCTTCGATAAACTATGAAATATTTGTTATTGTGTTGTAGTACTAATGCAAGTAATTTGATTCTAAATTGATATTAATAAATTTCATTGTTTTTCCTCATATAATACAGAATAAAAAGTCATCTAGATATAGACATGTATTAATAAAATTTTGGTTGGGAAGTATATATCGCATAAATATATTATATGGTTTTATTATGGCTAACAGAATGTTTTTCATAAGTCTAAACAAATCAGATGCCCGGCCGTTTAATAATCCAATTTTCTCCGTAATGTATTGATATCATTAGAGAAAAATTAATTGTGATATTTCTGACTGAGATATTTTAGTTATGTATGCCAAACTCTATTTTGGTGATAAAAGACAAATTTTATTAAGAATGAAATATTAGAGTGAAAGTAATTTGTTAATACATCATATCATTTATCAGACACAACCATTAACACAGGAGAAGAGAATGAAGCGACTAGATCTTACGACTTCATCTCAAAATTTACTGAAAGGACAACCTCTTCAACTGATGAATCAGTGTCAGAATTGTCTTGTTCTTTAATTAGGAAGGAAGAAGGTAAGTCAAAAATATTAAAATAATCATCATGGCAGCAAATGAACGAAAAAAAAAAACTTGTGCCTTTCTGAAAATTCTTAAGGATGTTAAATACATCGCTTACCCCAATATATTTCACGAAGAGCGCAATTTATCTGACACTTATCACATTATGTAATTTGAGTTATTTTTTAATCATTGCATTATATTTTTGACGTCATGACAAATTCATGCTAAAATGTTTTGAAAGAACTAAATGCGGTATATTGCATATCTTTGCCCCCACAAAAGTCAAATTTTGAAAAATTCTTGAAATGTGCTGAATTCTATAAAGGCCGTAAGTGCCGAGCGTACGCCTAAATTCACAGCCCTTCACCGGCAATGGTGACGACCATTTCAGTGAAATATTCTGTAGAGGGACGTTAAACAGTATACAATCAATCAATCTATAAATTATATGAGAAATATAAATTAACAGAACATATCATAGTTCAAAGTGGTTAACCGACAATTTTTGTTATTATGACGTCACGAACAAGTCCGATTTTATATCATTTTTTAAAAAGTGGACAAAATGGACAAATTTTCTACAATTTTAGCTTTAACATTTATAGAGCGCAAGTTTGCTCTGGAACGATATTTACATATTTCATTGATATAATCATTTTACACATTATATTAAAAATATTGAGCCTGATCAGACCTGCGCTCGGTGATTTTTACTCAAAATATTGACGAAATATATACATTTTTCTGTAGAAAAGCATGGAAATTGTAAATTTACGTCATTTTCATGACGTCATTTCAAACATATGACGTCATTGCTGGTGAAATATTCAGTGTTTTGAAGTCAGTATATATTCCCCTGTTTCAGAACATAATTATATATTTCTCTGTCAAAGTTTGGTTTTTAGGGGGCAAATATTGGTTACAACCATACTATGGAATGCCATATACGGCAGCCAACTGCTTACTGCGAACTGCTGACTGCTTACTGCCAACTGTCAGCTGCTTACTGCCAACTGCCACACAAACATGAATAAATTTTATTTTTATATTGATATTTATGTGAATTTTCACAAAAAGAAGAAGGAAAAACCGGCGCGGATCCAGGTTATTTTTTCCAAGAGGGTCACCCTGGTAAGATTAAATTGATTAAATGACCAATATTTATTATCTTATGTTTTATAAAATGTATTCGATTGATAAAGTAATTTTTTTTCTTATTTGAAATAGGTAATAAAATGACTGTGTTCTGCTTCTAATCTTTTAAGAAGTAACACCCCCCCCCCGGAGACAACAAAACCTTTGAAGAGAGAGAGAAAAAAAAAATTGTCGTTTCGCAGAGAAAGATGTTTTGAAAATATATTATCATTTTTCTACTATATTCTAAAGTTAAAAAATTCCTCAAATGAAAGATATATATCTCTGTGTGTTATAATGTTTCACATGCATAGATTTTTTTAAGGGGGGGGGGGGCTTTTAAAATTTGTTCAGTCATGGGTTAATGTATGAACTAAACAAACTAAAACTGACCTTGGGCCCGGCCTCCAAGAAAACGCCGATCAAACTTTTATATCTCTTTGTTTTTACAAATAAGATATGTTTTACATGCATAGATCTAGAGAGAGGGGTCCAGGCCACAACTCTGAAATTTGTAAAGTTATTTAATACACAAACTAAACCAAATAAGAGTTATTTAATGTATTTAAAAAATCAAAAGGGACCTTAGACTTCCCCCCTCCCGAAATCGCGGAATCGTTAAGTTGGTATAAAAAATGTCATAGACATGAAGGTATGAAGCATAAGTAACCCACTCTCCCCGACCGAAATAAATTTCACATTTAGGGAAGGACTTTACGTTTTTTGTTTTGTTTTTTTTTTTGTCAAGAAATTTCTGGGTTGGATTTTTTTTTTACCAAAGTGACCCTTTTGGAAATAACGTCGTAGATCCGCGCCTTTTTTTGGAAAATTTACATTAATATCAATATTAAAATTAAATGTATTCATGTATGTGTGGCAGTTGGCAGTAAGCAGTCAGCAGTTGGCAGTAAGCAGTCAGCATATGGCATTACATAGTATGATAACCGAATAAAATTCTTTGCTATTTTTATCAAGTTTTTATGAGTTTAATTTTTTTTATGTAAGGAATGTTAAAAGCAGAAGATACATTCATATTATGCCGGTTTTCTCAAGAGTTAGTAAATTAAGGACCATATCTAAAAGATTTGAATAAACTGTTGATAGACTATAAACCTATAGGGTCTATGGATAGACTGAGTCTTTTGTTATCATACGTCATAAGGTCACTATCCATTGCCCCGCTTTCTAGATCATTGTCAGTTTTTTTGCTTTTTTTTTAATTTTATTTTATTTATTTAAGACTTTATTGCGGACATAGTTCAAGTAACTTGCGTTATTTAATGTTTCACTATAAAAATAAGACAAATGTGTAGATTTCAAGTTAGTTTTTGGCCATCAAATATGCAAACTTTTATAAGTTTCTTACAGAATGCCCTTTTGTGACTTAGCATAAGTGACAGTTACTGACTTTCGATGCCTTCTTTTTATAAATTCAGTTTGTTTTAAATTTTAGAGGCCTGCTTGTCTATATGTATACCAATATCAACTATACTTGGTTTGGTTGCCCTTTTGCTGGCTATATTACTGTGGTACCAAAGCAGGTAATTGTCAATTATATGATGCAAAGAAACTCTTGTATTCATAATCGTAATTAGTGTCTGTTTAAGAGTTAACTTTCGTTTCAATAGATGTATGAAATCCTTTAAAGAACTACGAGAGACATATGCTGATGTGATTGGGAGGCCTATAAGAATATAAGAATGAATACTGATTATGAGCAGATCACAAGAGAGAAGAGTAACAGGGAGGACAAACACAACCAATAATCAGGACAAACATATTAACTTCGCAGAATGTTTCCTTTGTTTTTGTTTCATGTACTTGAATACCATTTGGTACATAAATATCTCTTATAATTTTTTTATTTATCAAATTACTTTGCAGTCATAGACTATTTTCTCTAACAAAAAAACATAAGGGTAAGGAGATTATTAATCAGAATTTTTTGATATATATATTTATATATATAACGTTTGATTGAAAAAGAGATAGGACTTTCATATTTGACGTACATTACCTGCAACAAAATATTTTTGAGAATGCTATGACTTTTCCCCTTTGACCTAATTTTCATAAATTGACATATGATAGGGGTGCATACTTGACACACAATCTGCCATAAATTATGGCATCCCATTCACTAAAACACAGAAAGCAGAGACCACAATTCTTTGAATTTGCTTGTATAATCTTGATATGGAAGCATCCTCATATAATGTAGATTCAAGTTTTTTATGCCACGCCATGATTAGGAATACACGTATAGTTTTTGTCATGTTCGTCCTCCACCCTTCCATCTGTCTTTCCATCGAGCTTAAAGAAACTTTCTAGATATTTTTATCAAAGTTCATATGTTGATGCATATACTGATGTAAACTATCCAACTGTAGCAATATTTTTTGACCTTGACTTTTCCTTTGACCTTCACTTAACTTTTCTTTAAATTAGTGTTTAGCTTTATTTTAAAGAAACCATTCAAGTTGTGTAATGAAACTTCACATGATGATACATACTGATGTAAGCTTTACAATGCTTCAATCTTTTTTTCCTTGACATTTCCTGTGACCTTGACATCACTTTTCTAAAATTAATGTATAGATCAGTTTTGAATAAACAATTAAAGATATATTATTAAACTTCATATGCTAATACATACTGCTGAGAGCTATTAATGCATCAACTTATTCTGACCTTGAATTTTCTTTTGACCTTGACCTCACTTTTCAAAATATGTGTTTATCTAAGTTTTAAATAAACCATTAATTATATTTTTATTAAACTTCTTATGCTAATAGTAATTCATACTGACGTAAGCTTTTTAACTGCAACTACATTTTGACCCTTCATTTGACCTCTCTTTTTTAAAAAAAAATGTTAAGCTCAGTTTCATTTAATCATTCAAGATATTCTATCAAACACAATATGCTGACATGTATTAGTGAGAGCTATTCAACTGCATTAAACTTCACCTTGCACAATCCAGTGACCTTGATCCGAGTCCCTCCTCTTTAATTTACATTTTGCTTAGTTTTAAAGAAATTATTAAAGAAATTTTTATGTTTAGCATGCCTTTATACATAATTTGGTGAGAATTTATTATCTATATCCAATTTATTTAGATTCTAGTTTCAATTCTAAAGAAACTGTTCAAGATATTTTCATCAAACTTTATACACTAATACAAACTTTCATGTACAGTAGCATTAGTAATATACATCTGGCGGGACATTCATGTCCTATAGACTTATTTCTAGTTTTTCAAATCATTACCTCAAAGGCTAGGGTCAGGCCACACTTAGGGATCAAAGTTTTATTAAGGAATATTAAGAAATAAAAGGAAACAAATCTTCAAAACGTCTTTTCAAGAATCAGTCGGTAGAGCGCTCGCTCCGTGATCGGGAGGACGTGAGTTCGTATCTCGAGCGCGACTGACCTAGTCGTTAAAATTGGTAGCAACTGTTCCTTCGCCATGCGCTCGGCACTTTGAAGTGAAAGTTGCGGGTCCTTCGGATGAGACCTTAAAAACCGAGGCCCCGTGTCAGCGGCAGGCGTTGGCACGATAAAGATCCCTCACTGTTCAATGACCCTGAGTGCCGAGTAAAGGTCAGAATTTGAAGCCCTTCACCGGCATACGGTGACGTCTCCATATGAGTGAAAAATTCTCGAGAGGGACGTTAAACAATATACGATCAATCAATCAATCAATCTTTTCAATAACAACAAGAGCATGATAAATATGAACATTCTCAAGAGGTGTAGATTCAAGTTTGTACAAATCCCGACCCCCTGGGTTAGGGAGGGGCCATACATAATTTCCTTACCCCTTTTTGCCATCCACATGAAAATGCAAATTTTGAGACCATACAAAAACAAACAATCATTTTCCAAATTATCATGGTTTAAAGCTAATGCATAAAATATTAGGAAAGTTCTTGAAAGCAGAGTTATTAAACATATCAAATATATATATATAAAAAAAATTCTACCCCCCCATTTAACCCCCCCCCCGGGCAAAATCAAAATTCCGAAAGCTTACTGCACATCTACATGACAACACCAACCATCTCCCAAAAGATGAAAAGGCTGCTGAGTCAAATGTAAGAGGAGTTCAGGGAAGACGGGGCTTTTAGCATAAAAACGTCATTATTCAACCCCCATTTGACCCCCGGGGCAAAATCAAAATTCCGAAACCTTACTGCACATATACATGACACCACCAACCATCTCCCAAAAGATGACTTAGCTACTGTGTAAAATGTAGGAGGAGTTCAGGGAAGAAAAGTGTGACAGACGGACGGACGGACAGCTAGACGGACGGACGGACATGAGTATCAACAATATACCCGAACTTTCTTTAGAAAGTGCGGGTATAATTAAAAAAAAGCATTGAACAGAATTTTTACATGTGCAAAGAACAAGTAAATTGAACGATTGAAATGTGATCTTCTTTTTCCCCGACTCAGTTAAGTATATGTAAAAAGGGGAAAAAAAAGTAAACCTAATACCCGGTATCAAATTTAAACTGGTACTGAATTGAAACAAAAAATGAGTTTAAAAACGTCAAAACAGGCGCATCGATGCAGGCAAATAAATCAGACAATTATGAAAAAGGAACAGAGAATCTAATAAAAAACAGATAGACTAACAGAGATAGGAATGGAGTGCAGAGAAACATTTATTTTCCCGTGGTTAATGTGAACAATTTGTATGGTATGAGGCCACAATTTCAGCATCCTTGCCTAAGAATTACAATATGTATAATCTGTATCTTAAAGATATTCTTCCTTGATTGTTCCTTTATATGTATATGAATTGAAACTACCACAAAAATCACAAAAGAGTGTAACACACCTGATTACTTAATATGCATAAGGAAGGATTTCTATTTCTTTATTTTCTTTATATCATAACTTTAATTGTCACAAGTGAATAATAAATTGAATACACCTTCGATTAACATCAAGTCAAGTTTAAAATATAATAATGAGGAGGAACTGTTCTTAAGGAAGCAAATGACATTAAATTGGATTGAATATAATGTTACGTGAAATGAGTCATTCTTGCAAATTAGAAATGTATGGTTAGAACAGCAATGCTGAATTTTCTTCACAAGGATCGAATGGAAGAAAACTCTTTGAATACCTTGAAGGTGTGATCGTCATAATAACATTAAAATAAGATGTACACTGACATGCAATATGTTTATTCAAAACTCATACATTCATTCATTGAAGAAGAAGGTATGGTTTTAGCTTTACTGCGCCCTAAAAATGAAATGACATCAAGAAGTTTTGAAACTGGCTTAAATATTAGTTAAATAAATGACTCTGATAAATCAAGAGAGAATATGGCATGAAGGTTTACTATTCTGCAAATATGACGTCATTAATGTGAAGCATTTCTCTATTTTCAACAGAAAAAGCCTCAAAATGGCACATTTCAAGGGTGATTTTCCTTTAGAAAACAATGTCCACAGCCATCGCCCACGTTAATTTTTTGATATTTTGTGCAAAATTTAATAACAAATCACATATCTCAAGATCTTTGTGGGCAATGTCTGTGGACAATGTTATCTGAAAGAATATTCCATTGAAAATTGATGTCTTCTGCAACTTTCTAAGAAAATACGGGAAAATGCAAATGTTAATGACGTCATAATTAGCATTTAAGGGGGACCTATGTCGTTCTACGTCAAAGCAGCGTTTTGTGACGTCACAATAGCGACGTCTGTTTTTTACCTGTTAACTTTTGCAACTGTAATATAGGCATAACATTGTTATTAATCAATAACGTACACAATTTACAAAAAGAAAATTTATTCATCATTGATGACAGTTTTATTTGTTACAAATATGGAGTTTGTTAATATTAGAATTCTCTTCCTTTGGTTGATAATTAATAGCAATTTCAGTTGTGAAGAAACACCTCGATGATATTTGCTGATATATACGTGCAAAAAGATTTAAGATAAAATTCAGCAAAGAAAGCGACTTAAATCAGGGAAATATGTTAAATTTAATTTTCACCATTAATTGTGTTTTCTGGATAAAACTAAGAAAAAAATTAAGAAATGTACTTGTACTTATATTTGCTTATTGATTTATAGTACATTTATATTTTATTGTATAAAGTCATCCCTAGTTGTTGTTGACGGGGAAATGGGGGGACAGAATGATTAGAATGAAGAAGAAAATAATTAATCTGTTTAAATTGTTTCTAATCAAACACAAAATACTCATTTTTCGCAAAATAGTTTTATATTCAGATGTTTGTCAGTGCTTACTTACCCTTCTTTAGTGCAGAAAGGTCAATATTTATTACACAAGCGTGCGAAAATAAAAGAAAACGTCATATTTCTCGTTTATTTTATCATAAAGGTATACTTTTTTCTTTGTTAAAATAAAGAAATAAATCAGTTATATCAAAAAATATGAATTACAACATTTTCACACAAATACTTTTTAAGATATTACCTTTTATGCAAGTCAGAATTGTAAAAAAAAGAAAGACAGGTGATACTTACATTGCGCTCCTTTATAATTTTTCATGCGAGATAAATTAAAATGAATTTGCCTTCATTTTAAAGATACAAGTCATATAAATGTATACCTGTTGATTTCGAGTGTGATTTGACATTTTTGGTTCTTTTTAGAGCATATTTGAAGTAGAACAATGTCTGAAAATAATCTATTTTTAGCATTTCACACTGTTTTTGCACGTGTTCGTGTATAGAAATAAACATATAAAGGTATTGTTTTAAATACCTAAAAATTAAGAGCAAGTGGTCAGAAAAGAAATATCAAAGTTTTGAAAATTTCACACAAAGACTTTTTGGACATAGGTCCCCCCTTAAAAACACATGTGAGAAAAATGACTTGTATGATTTTTCTGCATTGAATTTCAATTATTTAAAAAGCATGAGTTTTCAACTTTCACACCAGTTTCATTTCTGAGAAAATCACAGGGCAAAATTTGTATGGAAACCATACCTTCTTCTTTGAATTTCAATAGATAACAAAAGCAAAAAACAATATATTGAACTAAATATGACGTTTATGCTTATATGTTGTGCCATGAAATTAAGGTATTCAATCCCTAATAGGATCAAATTCAATGAAATTAAATACATAACAGATAAGTAGGCATTGAATACTCAGTTTATTTAGACATACTTCCCATTTACTACTATTAGTATGTATAGTTGGATGTGTCCTAGTTTATGACCTTGAATTTTGGTAAGAGTTATCTCCCCTTTTTTAATTAATCAAAAAAATCAATTAAAGAAATTGTTACCGGTAAAAAAATTGTTTTCAATTGTCATTCTATTTTTAATGTTTCGATGCATCTTTCCACCGCAGGATTTATTGATATTCAAAGTATTTAAATTTTTATTTTGAAAAAAATGCTTTTCCCTATAGACTTCAATGCAATCTTTGTTAATTAACTACTGCTTAATTAATGAAATTTTTGAAACTTTCTCGCGGTCAATCCTTTTCATTTTTTAAATACTTTGATATAATATCAGAGTATTATGTACTTGGCGGACATTTACGGGTAGAGAATTTGGTCCCATTAGGGATGGAAATCCTTAAATAAGGAAATTCGTGAAACCAGAGTGTGCATGTATAAACATGTGACCCAGATTTTAAGGTTCGTTTATTTCCTTGGTTTGGAATTAAACCTTAAACGTCCTCTTGAAAATGAGAATCTATTTGGAAGTTCTATTGTTTTTGGCTGTGATTACAGGTAGGAATTTCTTTTTTTATATATAGAAGTACCGATTTATAAGGTCTGATAAATTTTTATTATTGTATGGGATTTGTTTTCATCTTTTCAATAAAGACTTCATTAGTTGCTGTTCTCAAGACGGAGTAGAAAAGTTGGTAGAAAATGCACACGTTTCCTGTTCATATTATGATAGTTGTACATCAGAATGCTACAGAGGATACATATTTTCTAATGGAGAGAGGAAAACAACATTTAAATGTTTAAATAACAGCTGGACTTCAACATCTATGGCTTGTAAACGTAGGTGAACGATAGCACTTCTTTAATAACTTTTTGTTTTTAGACTGGACTTAATCACATGATTTTGAACACAGTTTGATTGTACGAATATGACTTATTTTTAGATATACTTAAATTGAACAAAAATATATCTTTAAAAAGTATTTCAAATTGATGCACATGATGGACATCTCAATTTTTTAACATGTCTTTTCTACTCAAATTCCCTACAGGTATACCTGTAGTAGCTATGGAGTACTACACCGTCTGGAGTCTTGACATTCCTCCAATGAGTTGCAACAATATTTCACAGCGTTTAGAGAATTCAAAACAAACACTTGAAGACAATTTCATCGATATCTGCAAATACTTTAATATCGATGTGAATGCGACTTTTAAATTTTCTGTTAGGGCGTTTGAGGTAATAACAAGAATGTTCATAAAACCCTTTTCAAGCTTTTTTTGAAATCCCTTCACTTCTACTTTAGATACATTTATACATATACATGTGTATTATATTTATGCATAGACCTGGCTTATTTTATTCTAAATCCACATTCATTTATAAAGCATACTAAAATTCCTCAGACATTTGGCTCATAAAATACCGGATACTTGACTAATAATTATTTACTGCATTGGAGAACCCTCTCTTTCTCTTTAGCTCATTTTATTTATTATTAGCTCACCTGAGCCGAAGGCTCAAGTGAACTTTTCTGATCAAAATTTATTCCGTTGTCTGTCGTCGTTGTCGTTGTTGTAAACTTTTCACCTTTTCATCTTTTTCTCAAGAACCATTTGGCCAATTTCAACCCAACTTGCCACAAAGTATCTTAAGGTGAAGGGGATACAAGTTTGTTCAAATGAAGGACCACCCCTTTTTTCAAAGGAGATAATTATGAAATTGTGAAAAATAACTGGCATTTTTAAAAAACATCTTTTTCTCAAGAACCACTGGGCCAAACTCATTTGGAATCATCCTCTGGTAGTGAAAATTTAAATTTGTTCAAATCATGACCCCCAGGGGTAGGGTTGGGTCACAATGGCCCATCAAAGTTTTACAAAGAAATATATAGGAAAAATCTTTAAAAATCTTCCTCTCAAGATCCACTGGGCCAGAAAAGATGAAACTCATTGTTAATCATCCTCATGTAGTGTAAATTCAAATTTGTTCAAATCATTACCCCAGGGGGTAGGGTTGGGCCAAAATGGCTGACCAGAGTTTTACATTGGAATATACATGAAAAATCTTTAAAAATCTTCTTGTCAAGAACCACTGGGCCAGGAAAGATGAAATTATGAGGAGCCATCCTCTGGTAGTGAAGATTCAGGTTTGTTCAAATTCTAGGGTAGGGTGGGGCCACAACGGCCAATTAAAGTTTTACATAGGAATGTTTAGGAAATTTCTTTAAAAATCTTCTCAAGAACCATTTATACAGGAAAGATGAAACTCATGATGAATCATCCTCAGGTAGTTAAGATTCGAGTTTGTTCAAATCATGACACCCGGGGATAGGGTGGGGCCTCAATGGCCAATCAAAGTTTTATATAGGAAAGTGTAGGGGAATCACTTAAAATCTTCTTCTCAAGTACTGCAAAGCCCTGATCAGTAATATTTATATGGAAGCATCATCAGGTAGTTTAGATTCTAGTTTGTTCAAATTATAAACCCCAGGGGTATATAGGGTGGGACCACAATGGTCGATCCAAGTTTTACATTAAAATATGTTAGAAAAAAATGTTCTCAAGAATAGCAAAGCCATAATTAGTGATGTTTTTATAGAAGCATCCTCAGGTAGTGTTAACGTTTGAATTTCATTTGTTCAAATCATAACCCACAAGGGTAGGGTTGGGTCTCAATGGTAGATACAATTTTTACGATAGGAAATTAAGGGGGGAATCCCAAGAACAGAAAAGCTATGTTTAGTCATATTTCTCAAGAATAGCAAAGTTATAAGCTGTATTGATATAGAGGCATTCTCAAGTTGTATCAAAATTCAAGCCCCCCTCCCTTCTCAATTCTGATCTGATTTGTGCTTTTTCCTAGTCTAGTTCTCAGTGGAGCGATGTGGCCCTTGGGCCTCTTGTTTTTCATGTTGAAACAAATCCTTGCAAAGAGACAAAAACACTTCAATGAACTAAGTATTTTTTAGATAACAAAACCTATTTGCCAATTCTCAAACATTCGTTTAAATAATATTTCAACATAATTTTTAGCATACTCTTAAAACAGATATACAAATGTAAAAAACGCAATTGGTGTCTGTATTAAGTTCTACATAATTATGCAGCTCAATGCACTTTTACATGTATGCTCAATAACTATTTTCAGATGAATACCACATTTTATGCAGAATACCAAAATGCATCTTCAATGTACAACATAGATTTATGCATTGCGTACACAAAGATCTCCCTCTGGAACATGCCGTATTTCAGGAACATGCTTGATAACATAATATGTAATGGATCAATAGTAGCTCACAGACCTCATATTGAATTAATTGTAACCAAGAAAAAAGTGATTTGTCACCAAAATACTACTGTACAGAGTGTGGCTGTAAGTGATATGACTAATACAGGAAAAGAACTGTTTTGTGGTGAGTCTCTCTCTCTCATTTTAAACATTATAATCTTCATTGGTACATTATATGATTCTTTACAAATGTAAATGCCTGTTCAATCGACCCATTAAAATTGCTTTCAATCATATTTATTTTAGTAATATTATTTTTTTTTGTTTTGGATTTTAAATGAAGTCCAAAAATGACAAAATCATGATCAATTAACTTTGACTTTTGTGTGCTAGACATAAACTCGAGTAGATTACCCTTGGTTTTGACTTGAAAGTCATATGTATCTTTTGCATTGGATTTTGGATAGGTTAAAGGATTTTTGCAATCTCTGGGGTTGTTTTGAAAATTTCCGGTAATTTAAACAGATTTTGACCCTACAAGATATCACACCCTACTTTTTCTTAGAAGTCTGACTGCTCTACTAACACAAAGACACCATCAGAATGAAATCCCTTCCAATCCAGTGTGTCGAATTTGGGACGAAAACCCATGTCAACAGGAAGGTTAAAGATTGCCTAGACAAAAGGATATATTGAAAAAAGGATCCTTTTAATTAACCGACTGAACGGATTCTAATCTGCAAGTGAAACTGCAACTTTTTGCACTCTGTAATTCCGTGACAAAACTAATCGCAATGGCGACATAGACGCGGGCCTAAAAGCACATAGGCCATCCTTTTATTCAACATGAGAAGGATACATGTTTTTAGGGTATGCCGAGACTTTCACTTGACAAACAATGCACTGCAGCTGACACAGAGTTGTTTCTATTTAGTCCAAATCTGGATCCACTTGATTAACTATGAGACGAATCGAATCGAGAAATTTGACTTCTATATCAAATTCAAACACTTAACATGAGTTACAAGTATTTGAGTGAAATGTGCATCCCAATTTAAAGAATCATCTATCTGATTGATTGATTGTATATTGTTTAAGGTCCCTCTCGAGAATTTTTCATTCATATGGATACGTCACCGTATGCCAGTGAAGGGCTTCAAATTTAGACCTATACTCGGCACATAGGGCCATTGAGCAGTGAGGGTTCTTTATCGTGCCAGCGCCTACCGTGACAGGGGACCTCCGTTTTTATGGTCATATCCGAAAGACGCGTAAAATTCACTTCTGATGCTGAGCATGTTTGAACGAGAATCGAACCTGGGCCTTCCGATCACGAAGCAAACGTTCTACTACTAGGCTACCGTGAACGGTAAATCAACTATCTGATCCATTACATATTCAAAATGATAAAGGTTTATGTATATCAGCTGCTGTAAATGCGGGGTGAGAATAGACGCTATTTTACAGTTTTGAATTTTTATATCTTAAATTCCTATAGGCAATACTGTCGACGCCTGAATGTCGTTTGAGTCAATATAATGCCTTAAATAATGGGAACTAAAAATGTGACATTTGATTAGATTACATTTGGTATCATTGTGTTGCATAGAAATATATCTCAATTTACATATACATGTGCATTAAGTGTGCCTTTACTTTTCCTTATGTTCCTTGAACATTTGAACATGAAAAATCTTATTAAAACGTGTGTATGTTATTTACATCATCAGCGATTTAAAAAAAATAATCTATTAAATATACACAAAGTTAAAAATCTTCGATAAAATATGAAATATTAGTATTTATTGTATTGTTGTATTCTATAAGTTGTTTGATTCATAATTAATATTAATAAATTTCATTGACTTTTTCCTTATGCTATTAAGAACATGATGAAAACTCGTCCAATAAATATAGTTATTAAATCTTAATTTGGAATTTTCTCTTGCATTAATATATATTGTATGACTTTATAATGGCCTACAGAATGATTTTCATAAGTATACAATTAGTTTTGATATTTTTAAATGATATATTTTAGTTATATATACCAAACCGTATTTTGATCATAAAAGACAAACTTTATCAGGAACTTACAGTGAAAGTAATTTGTTATTACATCAGATAATTTACTTATCACAAACTTTACCATAGGAGAACAGATCAAAGAGACTAGTTCATATGACTTCATCTCAAAATTCACCGAAACGCCAACTTCTTTAACTGATGAATCACCAACAGAATTATCTTGTACTTCACTGAAGAAGAAAGAAGGCAAGTCCAAAATATTTGATTGAAAATCACGTTAGCAAGTAAACGATAAATCTTGTGATTAAACGATAAATCTTGAGATTTTCGAAAAATTCATAAGGATGTTAAATACATCGTTTATTTTATATATGAGGATTGATCCAAAAGTAATGTCACTGTGTCCATATCTTTTATATTTGGCGTCATATTATCAAATATAATATACCAAAATATGCAAAATATAAATCTAATTAAACTTGAATTTTTCATCTAATTATGTTTCACGGAATTAATTTTATGGATGTTTAAAACATAGCATATAGGGGGTGTCGCCGTGTCACAACCGAACGTCACA